TAATCTTGTACCATAATCATCGAAAAGTCAATATCGACAAGCATTTGCATTATATGGCTGTCATTTTTTTCATGTTTGTAATTTGTACAGTTTACTGTAAAATCAAAGTATGATTAAGACGTATAATCAAAGTAGATCAATATTCAATTTGGGAATGTTATGTTTAGGAATCGAAAATACGTAACGTTATCTTAAATGCCAACCGCCATTTTTTCGCCATTTTCGGAGTACAGATACGGTTGTTAAAAGGAAGTACATCAAATGCCAAAACCAATGTTTGGCCAAATATTATAGTGAATTATTCGCATGAATTGTAATGAAATTGACAAAAATATTGACAGTGAGAACAATTAAGTAGGTATTGATAATAATGCGTCGCTGCAGCATTAAGGGGTGCGGCAATAGAAAAAGCGGAAATCAACCGTATGCTACATTACACCGGCATGTGTTATTTTTCTGCCTATAAATCATACAATAGCCCAAATATCTCACGTAATTGGACTCATTTAAGTAATTTATTCATAAGTCTTGCCGAATTTTGCTTTGGTTATTTTAGATTGCCTGTTTGTTAGTATATTTTGATGATTGTTGATAACGATTATTTTGAGATAGTGTTGTTCTAGTAAGCGGACATATTATCGATATTCTGTTATTAAAATAATTCACTACGAGGTTTTTATTATTTTATTATTATTTTTTTTAAATTTACCTACAAAAAAGAAAGAAAGAATGGTTGGAAATTATAGGACTGCCGAACATAAACATTGGATCAAATACCATCTTCGTTTGTTCGCTCCATTTTGAAGAGTTAAATTTTAATAGAACTTTGAATGTAAAAGATTACATGATAATGCAAATTTATTGGTAAATAACTTTATATTTAATTTTGATTAAAATGGCTCATTACTTGCCTAGTAATAATAGCCTATTATTAATCATAGTTTAATTACAGTAAACTATAAAATATGCAAACATAAAAAACAGTTTCAACATTCAAGCCATACATTTGCATGTCGATATTGACTTATCTATGATTATGATACAACACTAAATCCGCATTATGTTGTAGTAATATGTGGTACAATTTTGGTTTAGGTAGATACGTTTATTCCGTAGATAGGGCAGCTCCTTTCCTTTATCTTTTCCATCCTCTAAGGTTGAAACGCATCTTATACATAAAACTTAGAGGATGGAAAAAACTACTAATTTATTTATGACAATTTAACATGTCATAAGTTGTACTCTATGCTTTCTGTAGTGACAACTGGAAATGGTTTGTTTTATTCATAGAGTTTATTTACTTTAAATTCAGCTTTTTTTTACAGACTCGAAGGTTCTGATCTTGGAGGATGGGTTTCTGATACAAACGTCTTGACTTTGGCGACGTTCACTACTTTCATATATTATTTTCACAAACTTGACGCTGGCGAAATCCAAAAACAGATATCGCCAATAAGAAAAAAGAAAAAGAAGGAAATCAATCAGCTTTAACTTAAAAATATTCACACTATTAATGAAAAATGGCTTTTTATCACGTTAAAATACATTATGGACCTTGTATATCTTTTAATGATGTCATTTACAACCCTCGAAAAATAAAGGGCATAAGAAGTAAGTATAATGTAACCACTTGCAAAAGTACGAGGAAATTGAAAGTAATTCCAGAACTGGCATAATATTAAGATTTCTTGCAGCTTTTTCTTTCTATCTACTGCTTCTGTCAGCTTCACAACCACCAATCAGATAAAGAAGATTCTGTACACCTATAATAAATCGCTACTCTTGGCAGACGTAGTATATAGTACACATTATGTTGTTCTGTACCAGGCCAAACATACACGTAGTCACTCACTCAGTCAGTCACTCTACTATATTCTAGTACGTATACAAAATTTTATATCGACTATTGCATACTAACAATGGAATATTAGTGCACTTGCAGAAGCTCGGTTACCGGGTGGATTTAATAGAAGAGTCGTGGAGGGACTACTGCATTATGGAATTGTGTGGACAGGAGGTACTGAGAAAAATCTAATAAGTAAAAATTGTAATACAAATTTAGGTTTATTTAAAATTTAGGATTGACTTTGCTATGCCCTTACAGGGTTCATGTTTGATCTGTACTATCTAACTAAAAAAAAAATTTGATTCAACTGCTGAATATAAATCTTAATAACTTACCTTTTATTGAAATCTTTCTAGTAATGTACAAAAGGTCAGGTGTAAAATGAATGCTCCGAAATTGCTTTACTAATGTTTGTGCTGTTATGTGGAACAAGTTCAAAGAATACGAGTATTTGGGATGATTTAAAAAAATATCAAGCTCGTTTGTACGGATAATCTCCAGAAGTGAAATCTAATGAGGTAACTTTTATTCGCTTTGTTTAAGATTTCCCTTCGTCTTTTTATTAGGTGTTCCGGTGCAACGTACGTCATCTAAAGTTTAACACTTGCGTGGAGCGCGACCCAGTGGCCCAGTGCGCCGTCAACGCTGTCATTGCAGGCACCTCGGCCTGTTTGCGAGCGCGCAATAACCTCTGGCTGAAAACAGTACTCAAAGATGAGATATTCCAACGTAACGAATACTCGCCCAAAAATTACTGGCCATTTCCCGTTAATCTAACGCCCTTGGTTTACGAATGTCCCACCTGCTGTGGCAGCTTGTCTATTAAGTACCATAAAAAAAAGAAATTAATACCGTCTAAGCCACAGGAAGATTATATCAAACCTCATGACCCGGCACCAGAAAATAAGAAATAAATTATTTCAAGTATAAAAACATTCTTACATTTGTATAAAAGATATCGTTTGAAGCAAACATTTGGTACTTTATTTTTATATTGACTTGGCTGGAACTTTTAGGATTCTTCTGAATCCTAAGGATACAATAACTTTAGAGTGGACGGACTCTTGAAATTCGTAGTGTTTTGTGGCCTTTGTGTAACTAAATACGAATAAAATAATATCCGAGTCTCCATTCCAAGCCTGCAACAACCTGGGCTTGAACTTAGATAGGTGAAAATAACATGAAAATCGTGTTAACAGTTCTTTAGATTAAATTAATATAATAGTTTAGATTAATCTAGTATTACGTCCCTAAGTCGGATATATCCATGAGAAATTTATTCTAAAAGCGGCCATGTCTGTCAGAAAGAACAGTGTAAATTTCGTAAATATGAGTATACGGGAATGGTAGCTAAACCACAAACGGCGCAACATAAAAATCAGATAAAATACACTTTTATCGACAAAATAACCCGGTAATAAAAACAACATCAATTATTAATCGCGGAACATGAGTCTAATCAAACGTCATTTAAATTTTCCGGAAGTTAACTGATATTTTATTCCATTCAGCAACTCGTGAGTGTGGTAATTCCAAAAAGGCAAGTCTAATAACGAAGTTGCCCGAGGAAAATTACCTATAGACGCACGAACGCGAGCCAATTTCGGTTGGTTCCATGCACCCCTGAATAAACTCTAATTAAATTTTGTGAGACGAAGCAATGTAGCTGTGATACTACAGGTTTATGTACAACGAACCGGCCCGTTATAGCATGCAACCTGAGAAAATAAAAAGTAAAATATCGCATAACTTGATTGTAAGTAGTTGGCTTCCAAAAAATATACATGTTGATAGTTATTGCTCGGTGTGAATTTATTTACCAACAAAGGCAATTTAACTCGAACATTGAACTTAACTTCCAAAACTCGCTATGGTACACGTTAATCGTTTGGTTGTATTGGTTAAATTTTGAACCGACTTAAAAAAATTAAGACGTACTCAATTCGACTGTATTATTTGTGTACCTATTTGTTACACGGTTACTCCATTTGTAAACCGATTTTGATAATTATTTTTTTGTTGGCAAGAGGGTACGTCCCATTTGAATTTGAAGAAAATATTCCACCTCTGCCTCTGCATGGCAAACTAGGGGATAAATCCGATCTCGCGCACTTTCCATTAACCGATTTCAATAAATAGGCAAATAGATGTAATTTCAATAAAAAGTCGATAAGCAAACTTTTAAGTTGTAATTATAAAACTTAAAAAAAGTTATAATTATATAAGGTAAGGTTTGAATATTGAGTAGCATTGCAATAATACTGTTTAACACGACGAGGCAAGACGATACATATTGTGTAGCATTTTTTCATTGAACAGTGTGAAAATGTGATTTTTTTTAACCAAGTGACTGGTCGAACAAGTGCACCTGGTGGTAAGCGTCACGCCTATCCATAACAGTTGCAGTGCCACTCAGAGCTTTAAATCGCAAAGATCTTAGGGTCACTGCGCCCGTCACCCTAAGACATAAGTCCCATGTGCCCGTAATTTCATCAGCATCCTTCCAAACCGAAACTCAGTAGTAATATTTACTCGTTAAAACTAAGATCGTTGGTGCCACCATCTAAGTGGGGACATGAGTACTTGAAAATCCTCCTGGACCCACTACTGGAACCAAGCGGTGGGTCCAAAATCCTAAAGGAACATTACTGCTTGGCGGCAGAAATGAGGAAGGAACGAACTCTTTCACGAGGAGTTTTACTGCTGCTGAAACTGTTGTATAAGCCGATACGCTGATGCCGTACGCTTCTATTATGCATTGCAGTGTTTGCGCCAATATTGTGGCTGAGGATTTCCAAATAGTAAGTACAAAATACATAATAAGCGCTTCTGCATTTAACCTACAGCAATCCTGCTGTGATCCTTAACTATTATTTATACACAAAGCTTCATTTCGGACAAATATCCATATCGTGTTAGTAAAATATTTCTTACAAACTATGTTAATAACGAAAAGTATTTTTTTGACATAAATTACACCTACAAGCGCAGTGCTACAATACTCGTCATACCAGTGTATATGATTCATATGAGTCCAATCAGTATAGGGCCGTTCGTTCCGCTCGGCCACCACCTGGGTTCACCCTGTGCATCAGAGGCAATAAATACACTTCCGGAGTACGGCATGAAAGCCGTCAATGCACGCCACAGCGAACAATACAGAGGCACCACCAACGTACCGTACTGGACGCGCTGGGCGTGATACGATCTATTAATAAAAGTAGTATATAAACCGCGCCATAATATTAACTGTAAATTGGACTTAACCATAGATGTAGTATATCTATTAAGTTAACCCATAAACAAACACGAGCCTCAATGCTTTATCTATAAAATATTGAAATGGTTCCCTGGTAATTGAGGGTCGTAGATGCCATTCAATTGCTTTTTTATTAAAAAAGGAGACATCATATTTTCTTTTGGTGGTAAATAATTTACCTTTAGAGACACACTGTGTCCCTAATATCAGTTTAAAAAAATAATTTATAATTTTGTTTATAAATTTAAATTTTTTGAAATGGTGGATGGAAACACATCTGAGAACGCTACAGTACCAAAATCGTTAGGGACGCCATGTGTCTCCAGAATGGGTGACGGGTTAAGAGTAGCAAAAAAGGGTTAGGAGTAGAAAGGAAATTATGTTGTTAAGTTAATAGAAGTCTAAAATGTTAACTTTCGTATATTTGCCACTCTTAACACGTAACGCATTCTAGTAAGTTTTAGAAAGTGTACAAAACGCGCTTTTATGTGTAACGAAATTTTAAACTACATACTTTTGCAATTGGAACATTCCCTTATTTCGTTTGTGATATTATGAGGGCCTTGTTTACATTTAATCAGGATTTTCAAACGCATTCAATGTTGGTAATGAACTGAATGTAGTTAAGAAACTGCCTCCGTGGCCAAATGGTTACCATGCTGGATTGCTCGGGTTCGATTCCCGGATCGGGAGAATATTTAACAATAATAACTACGCACACACTCAACATAGTCCCGCACTTGAGAAACCCTGTGTCGCGGGTTGCATGGACACACACTAGACAACCACAAACTCCACCCAAACTCACGAGAGAAATAAATATATACCATACAAATATTTCTCCCTGCCCGGGAATGGAACCTGAGACCTTTGCGTGTCAGTCCAGTATAGTAACCGTTCGGCCACGGAGGCAGTATATTTGTATGGCCTATATTTATCTCGTGAGTTTGGGTTTAATTTGTGGTTGTCTATACACTTAAACAATTACAATTACATAGACAACACACACGGATCCATGGTACCAGCGATACAAGATTTCGGGATTTCCCTAGTCATCGAGGGTGTGCGTTATTCATATAGTTCTATAGTTCATAAAAAAGGAAGTATTAATGTGTATTGATCATCGCTAAAACCAATACGGCTTCGGTCCATTGACTGCCAATAAACAAACAAAAGTCAATCCCACACCTAGAGCTGTATAGAGACTCCTAGATGAAGTCGTAGATATTCTCCAAGTACTTAAGGAAAGACGTGTATTGACAGATTAATCAATCAAAGTCAATGAGGGCAACAGCCTTGCTTGAGTAGTCAAGTTCCCAAGTCGGTGGAAAACTTAATTGCAAATAGGGTTTCAGAAATGTACATTACGATGAACGGAGATCAATGGTCTTAAGTTGCAGGAGCATCTTCATTACAACATCTCCTAGTTTAATTCGGGATATTTTTGGGACTCTAACACTGTCTTTCCACATGTGCGACGTAGCGAAGCAGTGTGCGAGGAAAAAATCCACCAATAGGGTTACTTCATTTTCCTAGACTCGCTTAGCACAACTCCGGTGGAAAAGGGTTAACGGAGCTAAGTATTTGTAAGTTTTTCATATACTAACAATCTAAATCCACAGGAGAGGGACAAACCAACTCGGAAATTCAAACAGAAACTACTAATTTGATTACTGTACTTTGCTACAGCTGGCATTCTATACAATACGTAGATTTATTATGTGTTTAGACTAAAAAATATTAACTATCCTTTTATACATTGCCTAAAGAAGCCCAGTTTGTATAGAATTACTATAAAGTACTCTGTATAATATTGAATTACACACATTGCTGTTAAAATATACACACCAAGGATAAGTCCCGTATCGAACGAAATAACCGAAGTTGAATTTATGAAGGCTATTCTATGGTTACAGTCGTGCCTAATAGAAGCTAGGCTCATCTCAAAGGCTCGTTTACCTTCATAATAGGCTTCCCACCCGCCATATGAAAGCAGCTGGAGGCAAGCAATGCGATCCTGATCGCTCGCATTGTACTCAAACTCTATTCAATGTATGAATAGATAAGTAATTTAAAACGTTACGGAGATCATCATACATATTTCAGTTTACGAGAAAAGGAAGAATTTAAAATATATCTTTTGAAAAATAGCAAAGTATCACGTTGTTTTAAAGGACAATGGTTAAATAAAGTGCAAAAATAACAATAATTTCTTCTTTTAAACTCTTCTTCTTGAGTCTTATTACTTTAGCGGGAAAAACTATTTTACAAGATCAAATGTTTTAGGTATTTACTATTACAGAAAATATACGATACACCTAAGGATATTGTATAAAGAACGTGTTAATTTGTTACACGATGAGCTTCGCACGATCGTATAAAATCTTGAAAACAAATTAATAAAATTAATAATTAATCTAAATCGAATTATTTAAGAATAAAATATCTAACTTTACAAATAATTCTTATGTGAAGATATTTTTCTTTAAGTACTACAGAGAATCTGCTAAGTTTTTGTTTTCAACTGAAGCCCTGTAGTTATTAAATTCACATTTATCCGAAAATTGGTAAATTGCCCAGAGCCGTGCCGCCCGCTACCCCGACAGTCGCCATCGGGCGCTTGTCAACGTCGGGTCTGTGTCAAATTATCTCTGCCTGTTC